AACTCCTGAGTCCCACCCCAGGGCCTTAGTCACAAGACCTGGGCTGGTCCCCCAGGCTGCGGACACATTAGGAAGCGCTCACTGACAAAGGCGAGCCAGGAAGGGAGTTCAGCAGAGTTCACCTTCCGTCTCTGTTTTGCAGGGAGCTTTCTGGGGCCTGATGCTGGGGCTGGCGCTAGGCCTGGCCAGGATGGGGCTGGAGTTTGCGTACCCTTTGCCCCGCTGTGGCGTCCCGGACGAGCGCCCCTCCCTCGTGAAGGACGTTCACTACCTCCACTTCGCCATCCTCCTCTGCGCTCTGACGGCCGGCGCCGTGGTGGGGATCAGCTTGTTGAGCGGGCCCCCCGCCGAGTCGCAGGTGGGTAAAGTCGCCCCGGTCGGGTTGCACGGCCCTGACGAGGATCAAGCGATCAGCTGTTCAGTTTGACTGCAAAGGGGGCATTGACGACGGGGGGTGGGGCTGACCTTGTTTCCCTCCCTGCTGCCAAGAGGCCATGGCAGCCGCCCCTCATCGCAACCCCTTGCACAGGCCGAGCTGGATGTTGTTGGAGTCTGGCGAGGGTACCAAGGTGGGCGCGTCAGGCAGGAGGCGGGTCCTGCGAACAGGTCTCCTATTTCCACTTGCCCCCGCAGGGAAAAGACCCAGCCCGCACCCTCCCTCCACGAACCTCTGATGCCGAGGGGCACGTGGCTGGCAGCAAAAGTCCTAAGCCACGGCCCGTGGGCAAACATACGGGTAAAGCAGCCCTGGGCCCAGCTTCTGCTATTGGACGGGGATTGAGGTTTGGTAGCCACGCAAAGGAGCGCAGTGGTGCCGTTACGTGTCGAACACAGTCACTGCTGTGGCATTCAGATCCACCCGGGACGTGCACCCAGGCACGCGGATCCTTCCTTCGTGCAGGGAAGCCCCTATGTCCAGCAAGGGACGTGTCTCCTTGGGACAGACGTGGGGTTCCGGATGGGAACAAGGGCAGTGATCGCAGAGCTACGAGCCAAGGAGACCTATCCAAATCCTCCAGCCAGAGGCACAGAATAGCTGTCTCTGGGGAACCGCCTTCAATGTCCTCTCTGCTCCACCCATGCGTGGCTGCTCAGGGCTGAGGTCTGGCCCCCGTTTGCTGTGGCTGGACTGTTTTTCGTTGTCAGCCGGAAGGCAGCCTGACAGCGGACCGACCCGCTGTGTTCCGCTTGTTTGCGTTGCCCTACGCCTGTTAATGTTATGTCACGTGAAAGCGGGGACGGGGCTTCGGGGCAGGGAAGGGTGAGGAGCTCGCACCCAGAACACGCTATGGGGGAGGGGGGGGCCCACACACAAACATGGAAATTCCCCCCCTTCCCCAGTCCAGTGGCATTTGGGGTCAGCCCATCGTAGAGGGATGGCTCTGGGTCTGGACTTCCCCAGGGGCTGGGGCTGGGGTGTTGGTTCTGCTGTCCTAGTCTGGGGCCAGGGAGATGTGGTAGGTGTCAGACCATGGGGTTTATTTCAGGGGAGCCAGGCAGCATGCAGGAGTTTGGGGTGCAGGGAGCACAAGGACCTGCCCCAGCTGTGGGCATGGCCAGTGACTCTCCTGCCTGCTGGCCGCTGGCCGAGCTCACGCTGGGCTGCTCTGACCCACACAGGCCCTGGCCAGAACCTCAGCTGGTGTACCTCCGTGTAGCTCCACTGAAGGGGGTGGAATGACCCTGATTTACATCCAGCTGAGGATCCGGCCTGGAGAATTCAGAGCGGGGTTCGAATCTGGCAGGTGTTTAGGGGGAGACGCTGGCCGGGCTGAGCAGCATGGGGAGATCGCTGGGTGACCTCCCACCGTGGGGGCTGGGTATGTCCCTGGGCACGGGCTGTTCCTGTCGTCCTTCACCACCGGCTCTTTGCTGGGCATCCTCAGAGGAATAACTGGGCTCCTCCAATTCCCCCCCCGCGGGTGATGTGAGACGGTGCTTCCCAGACACTGCTGCATTTGCTCCCCGGATCTGGCCACCCTCACAACAAGCTGGTTCTTCGGGTTTACCATGGCAGCACCCAACGCAGGGCCCTGGCACCGACGGATCAAACCCCATAGGCGGGGCCATGCCTGGAGGGCGTGAGTGCTGCCAGGCCAGGCCGAGGGATTGCAGGGTGGTTGTGATTGTCTTTGTGCTCAGATAGTACAGGCCATGCGACCTCAGGTGGGGCCTCTCCTCACCCTGGGGGGAATTGGGGGCGGCTCTGCTGAGGGGGAGGAGAATCGGGCCTCAGACTCCAGAGCCATAGTTTGCCATAGCAGCTGGTGACGCTTGGGGCCTCCGTTTTCAGATGCCCAACTTGAGACACTTGAAAGGGGCCCGGCAGAGGGTGGGTACTCGGCCCATCTCCTCTCGCTATGACGCTCTTCTGCTCTGGCCCCTCTAAGCTTCCCGCTCTGCGTTCCAGATAAAGAACCTCACCTGGTGGACCATTTCCCGGGGGCGCCTGCCTCCCGAGATCTCCATGGCCAGCGCATCAGCAGGGACCCACTCACCCAGGAGAGGAAAGGAGGGTACGTGTGATCTGATATTGACCAGCCAGGGCTTGGGATGGACCCAAGGCTGGGACTAAGAACCCAACGACGAAGGGGTGGTCTGTGCTTTGAGTTGGGGGTGTCAATCCCACCTCAAGGAGACATAGTGGATGTAGATCTGATCGTGCTTGGGCGCGAACGACAGGGCGCGTGGGTGTGTGAGTGGTGGGAGGGGCTGGCTGGCATGAGTACATGCCTAGCGTCCTGAATGGGTATGTACCCCAGCGGCTAGCCTCTCCCACTGCTTGTGCCGTCGTGGCTATACTCTAGCACGCTCGTTCGCTCCCAGCTACGGCGGGGACGTCTCCTCGACCCGGGAGTCCCAACTGCAGACTTGCCTTTAGACTTGGAAATCTGCTGCGGCCTGGGGCGTGTTCTGAGCACAGAACGGTCCTGAGTTCCAATCCCAGCTCAGGGGGTTGGGGAGGAGCCGGGGAGGGGTCAGGGCGCTGGGGGTCTTTGTTCATTTCAACCAGAGCCACGTGGATTCAGGGATCAGGTTCTGCTTTGGGGTTGGGTCCAGGCTCCTTGGCCCTGCCCCCCACCCCTTGAAACATGGACCTTCTTGCTCTGCGCATCCTCAGGCACAGCTGTCTTTGGCCAACCCTGGCCCATGTGAAGTGTGCAGGGCAGGTGGTCCCCATGACTCTGTCCCCCTCATAGTCTCTCTCCATCTGTGACAGATTCCCAGGAGGGGGCGCCAGGGACCTGCCCCGGCATGGATTTCTTCTGCAGTCCCCAGGGGGCGAAGCCTGAGGGACCCCCAGCAAAGGCCCCGAGGGACATCACAGAGGCCCCCTTCTGGGCGAGGATCTGCTGCATCAATGCTGTCATCCTGATGTGTGTCAATGTCTTCTGCTATGCCTATTTCGCTTAACACTACTGCAGCCAGCGGTGTGGGGGAGATGATCGGGGGAAGGGAAGGATGGGAGGAGGGGCGAGGGGGAAGAGGAGGAAGGTGTAGTGGGGAGGGATGGGGCAAGGGGAAGGTGGAAAGAGACAGCTGTGTGATTAATTCCCCCTTCCCTTCCCCCTACATTCTGGGCATTGGAGGGTTTTGCATCAGCTTAACTTGTCCCAAAGTTTTTCGTGGGCTAGAAGGTTGGAGTACCAGGGTTGGCACAACAGGTCCCTACGGCCTGTCTTTCCACCCCCAGAGATGTGAGTTACAGCTCGTGAAATGTGTCGGATGATCTCCCCGGTTCCACATGGCAGGGGCAGGCGGTGCTCGGGAGGGGCCCAGGAGTTGAAGAGCTGGGGGTGTTTCCGCTCGGGGGAGAGGAGAGATTTGTGGAAGATCAAGGGCTGGAAAAGCAGGGGGGCTGCAGGTCAGGACTGAGGTGCATTGACAGAGCTGCCTGAGAGCAGCATGCATACCCTGCATTGCGTTCTGTCCATCCCGGGGGGCCATCACTGGGATCAGAAGCTGAACTCGGCTTTTCCAGTCTTGTACATTTTTGGTTTCTTCATTGAATATCATTTAAGATCTAAGCCACTGATTCTAAAGACGCTTATGGTACAATGGGCAAAGACATTGCATGGGGCAGTAGCTTTGGACAAAGCTAGCCAGCAGCTCTCTTGTGCAGACTTTTATGTCAGCCCTGGAGAATCTGCGTAACCTGTATTTCTAGCTCCGGATGGCCTTCCTAAAATTGGAAATGGAAACCAGCCTCGCGGCAGGTTCTGTGTATACCCCCCTCCTTTGTGTTACCTCAGAATCACTTTTTATTTTCTCGGAATTAAAATGCAGTTTGCAGCTAGAAATGATATCTGCCTGACCACAACCAGTGCCTGGGGCACGCCTTGGCAATGCCATCTGCTGGGTTGCTTGCAAATAATCACTGAATTATTGAACTGTGTGGCTCCAGCACTGAAATCTGGGTGGGTTTCACAGCAGTCCCGGAAGCACCGCCTTTCTGGAGGCTGTACTTCTGGGGAGTGAAGCAATATTCGCCAATAAGTTCTGGCCTAACGGGATGATGTCATGGCAGAAGTAGCTGGTGTGTGTGTGCATACCCGATTTCCCTGGGTATGACACAGGCTAACAGAAGATGGTCATATCTGATATTGAACCATGGTACATTGGTGAGATTCATTTCATTTGCCAACCACGTCACCATTAACCTGGTCTCATGGTCTCTGTGGAGAGAGAGCTCTGCTTTACTTTCTTTAATGATCTCAGGAAACAAGCTATATATAAAAATCAAGCTGATTTGGAAATAGAAGCTAGAAACTGCTGCTGAAACCACTCCTGGCCTCTCCTTTCCCCTGAAGGTGTAGTCATAGAATCTCAGGGTTGGAAGGGACCTCAGGAGGTCATCTAGTCCAACCCACTACTCAAAGCAGGACCAATTCCCAACTAAATCATCCCAGCCAGGGCTTTGCCAAGCCTGGCCTTAAAAACCTCTAAGGAAGGAGATTCCACCACCTCCCTAGGGAACCCATTCCAGTGCTTCACCATCCTCCTAGTGAAAAAGTTTTTCCTAATATCCAAACTAAACCTCCCCCACTGCAACTTGAGACCGTTACTCATTAGTCAGAACGTGACACCCTAATGCACCCCCAATATTAACAAGGAGCCCACTGAGTAGTCTGGGTTCAGACTGGTCTCGTGGCATGTACAATCTAGCTAGGTTTGGAGCCAGTTGGAGCGGAGGGGGGAAGTAGATGACGTTTCATACTGTAGCACGTGATGCTGTGTCCGGGGTTCTGTGGCTCGGTAGCTCGGTGCCGTCACAATGTCAGTGCAGCTGACAAGCCAAGGCAGCCCGCAGGTTTGGCTCAGATGCTGTCTGTGGACCACACTTGTCATTCTTGGTTGCTAAGGAGGCCTGCCTCAAGCCTTCTTCAGCCAATGCGGGGCAAGGCAAACATTAGTTCAGTAGCCTTTAACTTAAGTGCCCATGAATGAAGTAGCCTTATAGTCCCAGGCTACCCTCTGGTTTTCCATCGATCAGCAAGGCACAAAGTCCGAGTGAAAGACCAAGGCATTATTGCCAGTTTTCAGCCTGAGTTCGGACAAACATAAAATTGCCACCCTGATGTGGACCGGCAGCCTATTTTGTCTGGTGCCCCCTGCTGCCAGCATTGACCACGGCCTGATGCCTCAGAAGATGATCCCCCATAATGCACCTGACTGATCCAACTTGTGCCCATGGGGTGAAATTTCTCTGGTGCTCTGAAACACTTGGACTTAGGATGCCCCTTGGAAGCTCTGAACCTAGCTACAATCATTTTGCTTATACACAGAAGTGGCTAATCCTCTTTTGAAGCCAGTTAAACCATTTGCCTGAATGACATCCTGCAGCAGTGAGTTCCATAGATTCATTACATGTTTCTTAGGCAAGTATTTCCAGGTTGACCCCTTATCTTTCTTCAGCTCAGTTTGCTGGCCACTGTTGTATCCACTTTTCCCTGAGGCTCAGGTGAGTATAGAAGTAGCACGTGTTACAAATTCCTCTTATCGTTGAGGAGTCTAAGGTGCTATATGCTTTGTTCAGGCCTCGGCCTTGAGTTTAGACCATTAATAACATCTCACTGAGCTCACAGCTTGAAGCAAGCCCTGAAGCCCTTGTGGTGAGTTGGAGGAGAACAAAAAGGGCATCTTACGCCTCTGACCCCCTTCTCTAACAGGTTTCACCTGTCTTTGCTTTTTAAATACACCAGTTCTTCTCAGGGAGCCAGCCTCCCTTCCCGCTTGGCGTCTGACTTGGCAAGATTCCCAAGCGTGACGCTGGCTTTTAAAGATGGCCAAAACAACCTCCCCGCCCGCCCAACACACAAGCCAAGTACCGTTTCTAATCATTGGGCCAATTCCACACCTGGCGTAAGGGTGTAACTCCACTGACTTCAGCTGCATCACACCTGCTTTGACAAGGTGGGATCTGGCCCAGAATTTAGCCAGCTCTTGATAATGGGACGCCCCCAGCACTGGGTGGGACAGAGATACATTTGCATAAACAGTGAATTCAATCTCTCCACCCCGGATGAGCGACGGAACCCGGCTGGCCGCGCGTCAGAGTCAGCTCGTAACCAGGTGCAGTAAAAGATGCACGGCCTCTTTGATCATTTTGTGAAGCCCTATTAAAGGTGCCAGGAATGCGCGGGCCCCTCCCACAGCCTCCTCGTTAATCACTGTGGATTGCACTCGTGCTGATGGCTCAGGAGAACTCCAGTGCAGAGAGCGTCCAAGCAGGTCCTCGCGGCTCCAGGCTGAGAGAGACAGGAGAGATGCCCACGTTCAAAGATACGTCTCCTGAAATGGCAGCTGGGGGCAAACCCCTGTGACAGTAGAAGTAAAACTCCCCGCAGTTTCAGGATGCAGGGAGGGCAGGATGGAGGGAGAATGCCCAGGGACCCGCCAGGGGGACGGGACAGCTGCATCGAGGGCCCTGGTGCTCTAGAGTGGAGAGGAGGTTTGGGCAAGGGGCAGGTTTGGAGCTGGTTGGGCATGGTGGCACCATGCCTACCTTTGCCCACCTACAGAGGTCAGTGTGCTCTGTATGAGAAACCCCACTGGAAAGCCCCTGGCCCAGTGCCTGCCTGTCAGATCTGGGAAGGGAAAGGGGCTGATTCTAGAAGGAGGCAGGCCAGTCAAAGGAAATACTTGTTGGAAGGGTTATTCTTAATCCTTTTGGCTCGACAGCTGCCTGGGATGACCAGGTCACCTGGCTGCTCACAAGCCCAGGAGCTGGGAAAAGCCAAGCTCCACGTGCCTTGCCCTCGGAGAGTGGGATTAGGATGGTTTATTGCGTGCTTGGTCCCTGCCCCAAAGGACTTGCAGTGCCGCTAGACAGAGGACAAAGAGGAAGGGATACACCACGTAAGCAAAGTGATGGCGCGATAAGGATTGCTAGGAGCCCCATTAGGTTCACTCTGGTCGCGTCCCTTTTATGCGCTGGGCTGAGTAAATCGCCTCCTCTTCACCGCACTGAAAACCCCATGTGCAAATGCCTAGCGCAGGGGGATTCACCGGAGCACATGGTTCCCAGAGGGTTCAGGTCTGTCCAGTGCAGCATCCCCCAGTCTGGTTTTAAGTATGGGAAAGGTCCTTGGTGCTCTGGTAACTTGTCCCCTAAAAGCTCTATGGCATCAGGTGAAGGGGATTGCAGTTTATTTTGTAACGGGCAGCCAGGGAGCTCTGGCGTCCAGGCAGACACTGGCTAGCAGGTCACATATGAATGGGGTGGACGTAGTTCCGTGGAAACAGGCCGATTCGCCCACAGATCTTCCCTCTCCACCAGTTGGGGTCGGGGCAGTCCAGCACCTCGATGATGTCCCCTCTGTAGAAGGCCAGCTGGGACGGATCGTGGGAGGAGAAGTCAAACTGAGCCTGGACGAACTTCGGCTTCTTCACCTGCAGTGAAACCAAGCGAGAGAGGAGTCAGGAGGGAAAGAGAGAGGAGGCATCAAAGCTACACAGGCAAACGCTGCTTCCCCCCTCTGCCCTCAGCGGCGGGGAATTATGGGCAGGTGCTGCCACCGGTGTTGGGGAGGGAATTCGGTGTGCCGACACGGGACACTGGGAGCCTCCTGGCACGGAATGGGCAGGGGTGGAGGTGGGCGTCTGAAAGCTTTTGCTAAAGGGACCGTGCCCTGGCTGATGAGTACAAACACGGACGTGTCCATGACCCACCATCACCTCTTTCCCCCGACTGACAATGCGGGGTCCTAGCCTCCGCTGGGGTAAATCCGCAGAACTCTCCAGAAGCCAAAGATTCGGGCTGATTTACTGAAAGTCTGCATCCCGAGCCGAACGTTCCCCAACGTCCGGCCATTCAGATCTGGCTCTAGATCCCTGCAACATTAGCTGCCCGCTCACAATCCATCGACTTTCATCACATTTCCTTACCGGCCTGGGGCCTTGCTTTATCTGAGCAGCGTCCTAGAAACCCTCGCGGGGCATCTGCCCCCTCAGAGGCAAAAGCAAGTCGTGCCCCCAGAAGCAGAGCGGTCTGTGCCCGATAAAAGTGGACCTAGGACCAGCGCTGTTCTGGTTGGTGGTGGACTGAGTATATTGCTGGTTCCCACCCCAGCCCTGAGTGGCGCCCTGGGCATTAGCCGTCTGCTAGCCCAGGGATACGCCGAATCCATCCCCTTTTCAGGCTCCCTCTCCCGTTCGCTTTGTTCTCCATTTCTCTGCCCTCAGCACGTTGAAGGACAGCTCTGCATGTCTCGGGCTGCACCACGCCCCTGCGATTAAGCTGCAGGCCCAGAGCCAAGCTTTGCAGCTGGGTGGCAGGAGAGAGATTGGCAGGACACCCAGGGCTCTGCAAACCTGGCAGCGTGCAAAACAGTCTCACCTAGAGCTGGGGGAGGAGAGAGAGGCAGGAACCCCTCCCCCCGCAATGGGTTCAGTCTGAGTAACTATAGTATAGACATAAGAACAGCCACACGGGGTCAGACCAATGGTCCAGCTAGCCCAGTATCCTGGCTTCCGACAGTGGTTGGTGCCAGGTGCTTCAGAGGGAATGAACAGAACAGGGCAACTATCGAGTGATCCATCTCCTGTCGCCCAGTCCCAGCGTCAGGCAGTCAGAGGCTTAGGGACACTCAGAGCTTGGGGTTGCACCGCTGACCATCTTGGCAAATAGCCACTGCTGGACCTGTCCTCCATGAACATACCTGATTCGTTTTTGAACCCAGTTACACGTTTGGCCTTCACAGCACTCCCTGGCACGTTGGCTGTGCGTTGTGTGAAGAAATACTTCCTTTTGTTCGTTTTCAACCTGCTGCCTATTCATTTCATTGGGTAAATCCTGGTTCTTGTGTTAAATGAAGGGGTAAATAACACTCCCTCATTCACTTTCTCCATGATTTTATAGACCTCTGTCATATCCCCGCGTAGTCCTCTCTTTTCTAAGATGAACAGTCCTAGTCTTTCTAATCTCTCCTCAGATGGACGCTGTTCCATACCCCTAATCATTTTTGTTGCCCTTCTCTGTACTTTTTCCAATTCCAATATATCATTTTTGAGATGGGGTGACCAGAACTGTGCACGCAGCATTCAAGGTGGGGGCGTACCGTGGATTTATATGGTGGCATTAGGATATTGTCTGTTTTATTTTCTCTCCCTTTCCTAATGGTTCCTAACGTTCACTTTTTGGACTGCCGCTGCACATTGAGCAGATGTTTTCAGAGAACTCTCCACAGTGACTTTCTTGAGTGGTAACAGCTAACTTAGATCCCATCCTTTTGTATGGATAGTTGGGATTCTGTTTTTCAATGTGCATTACTTTTGCATTTATCAATATTGAATTTCATCTGCCACTGTTGCCCACTCACCCAGTTTTGTGAGATCCCTTTGTAACTCTTCACAGTCAGCTTTGGACTTAACTATCTTGAGTAATTTTGTATTGTGTGTAAAGTTTGCCACCTCACTGTTTACCCCCTTTTCCAGATCATTTATGAATACGTTGACCAGCACTGGTCCAGGGAAGCCCACTGTTTACTGTGAAAACTGACCATTTATTCCTACCTTTGGTTTTCTGTCTTTTAACCAGTTACTGATCCATGAGAGGACCTTCCCTTTTATCCCATGACAACTTAATTTACGTAAGAGCCTTTGGTGTGGGACCTTGTCAAAGGCTTTCTGACAGTCCAAGTACACTTTATCCACTGGATTGCCTTTGTCCACATGTTGGTTGACACCCTCAAAGAATTCTAACAGCCTGTGGCTGTGTCCTCTGTGCCTGTTATACCACGCGTATTGTGAAGTGGCTGCACTGGGGCCTTGCCTTGTGATTTGGCTGGTGAGCAGTAGGCATGCTGAGCTGGGCACTGCCCTCTCCTTCTTTCGCAACCCTCCTGGAGTAACCTGTGTGGGCAGCCGAACAGCCCTGTACCTCATGGTTCTGGTCGTCGTCTCTCAGGAAGATCTGTTGCTTTTTGGCGATGGTCGTGGTTCTGTAGAAATCCACCAGCTCGTTCAAGGAGTTGAACTTTTCTTCCCAGAGGAAATATTTGCCATTCCTCTCTCGGAGTACCTTGAAATGCTGGACGTGTTCCCCATAGCTGTGGACACATTCAGAGAAGAGGGCGGTTATTCTGAAAGGTGGGCTTTAAAGCAAGTGGGTCACAACTCCCCTCCTCTCCCCCCAGAACCAGCCTGTAGGGATACTTATCCAGCCCCTCTGGCAGGATCCGATTCTGCAGCATCTGAGCTTTTGTTTCTGGCCTGTCTGTTGCAAAAGCCAACGCCCTGGTTTATAACAATCGGAGCTCTGGTTCCAGAACATCACAGCTCTGCAAGCTAGTCCCTAAGGCCTCAATCCCCCGTGCAGACCCCTGCTCAACTTTTCACGCACGATAGGACCACTCACACACCCGACGCTCGGCGTGTGCCCAAGTGTCTGCAGAACGGGGGCCCAAGCGTGCGAGCCGAACTTGACGGGGAGGAACTGCGGGTTCCAAAACCCGGGCTTCAGATCACCCGCTTGGCGTCCTGCCTGCATTTGAATCTTCTCGTCACTTGCACAATGCTAATAACTAATAACCTGCCCTTCACCAGCCCCTTTCATCTGAGGTGCGCCGGGCGCTTTGCACCTGTTAATTAATTAATTAAGCCTTGCAACACCCCTAGGAGTAGAGGAGTATTTTTCTAGCTATTTAATGGATAAGGAAACTGACAAGCCCATATTCCTTGCGAACTACAGGACAACAGGTTTGTTTCCCATGCACCCTGGTAGTGGTAAAGCAGAGTCCGGCCGAAGATAACACATCTGGGTAGGTGTGTTACAAACACACTGATGGTGTTGCTGATAGATAAGAGGGTTGCATCAGCACTTTTATCCCACCCAGCTGATGCTTAATTCCTACTGATTGACGTTGCAGGCCAGTGACGGTTGTGCGAGGTGCTGGGCATGATGACCTCAGCAAATATTCACTTCCCACCGTCAGCTAGAGATTAAACATGTCTGCGGATAAAAACAGGGGTGTATTCGAAAGTGGCAACACACGGCTTGATTTGCCTGAACTGGGACAAACTTGTTTTTGTTTCAACACGAGCCCAGTGTCTGCTCAGGGCTGTTTGTACTGACGCAGCTAAGGGGGAATGGAAAACATGGGATAATGTGGTGTTGGCTTTATTGTGCTGGGGAGGGATATTTGCATTACTACTACTGATGTTAGCAATAAGTGATCAGAACGGGGCTCTACCTGTCTGTCTACTCTCTGCCCTCCATTAAGGCAGAGTTAACGTTGATCTTCACTCTCAGAAGGCCAAGCGGACCTAGGCTTAAACCTCTAAAAACCCGGGAATAAAGAGTTAAGGTACAGACCTAGTGTAAACCACTTAAGTCAATGTAAACCAGTGTAACTGAGATCACAACCTGGGCTCTGGGTCGCTCAGGTGTGTAGGAGAAAAAACCCATCAAGGGTTTTATAAATCCAAGCTAACGCCTTGCACTGCCCCGGGAAATGAACGGTGCAGTCGATGGAATGCAGGTGTATGTGCTCCCTGGGTGGTAGGGTGACCATATTCCCAAAGGGAAAATGGGGCACACCCCCCTGCGAGGCTGTTGCTGGGTGCTGGAACCCTGCCTCTCCCCCCACCCCCAGCCCTGCCCCCCCGCTGCGTAGGGCTGGCATGGCCCTTTGCCCCCCCGCACATTCCTCCGCACCACACCCCACTTTTGTCAAAAGTGGGTATTTGTCCCTTTTGCTCTTGCCAACTGATCAACTTGGCAAGAGCAAACAATACAAATGCCATCTTTTGCCAAAAAAAAAAAAAAAAAAAGTTGGGATGGCCGGGACAGGGCTTAAAAAAGGGACTGTCCTGGCCACAATGGGACGTGTGGTCACCCTATCCCTGAGAGATGCTCTGCTAAGCTACCAGCCAGCCGCATTCTTTAATGGAGATAGCCTATCTCCTAGAACTGGAAGGGACCTTGAAAGGTCATTGAGTCCAGCCCCCTGCCTTCACTAGCAGGACCAAGTGCTGATTTTTGCCCCAGATCCCTAAGTGGCCCCCTCAAGGATTGAATTTACAACTCTGGGTTTAGCAGGCCAATGCTCAAACCACTGAGCTACCCTCCCCTATGCACCCTTGTGCAGCAGGCTAGCACAGTGCCTATACATGGCCTATCTTGCTGACTAATATGGTCTCATTGTGTCCTGGGGCTCCCACCCCGTCTGTGTCCATCTGTTGTCTCAGACTTAGGCTGGAGGCTCTTGGGGAAGGGACTGCCTTTTTGTCCTCTTTGTACAGCACCTAGCACAGCAGTCTGGCCCATGACTAGTGCTCCTAGGAGCGACACCACTATACATAACAATAAAGCATCAGAGCAGCCAGTTGCACTTAAGAACTGGAGGGGAAGAAAGGAACGCACCTTCCCAGAAACTCTATTTAGACTTGACAGCTGAAAGTCAGAAAAGAACAGCCCCGTTTTGCCACAGGGTCGGTGCTGCGGATCAGAACCCTGCCCTGGCGGCTAAAGCCCATAAAACAGAATAGCCACCTGGACGCCATGGGCAACACAATGTCTTTTTATGAATGAGTCACTGACTTTCCGTCCCGGGAGGCTGACGTCCCCCGGGCGGCTGGGATCACATCTCCCGTTTACAGCCCCGCTGAACGGGGAAGCTTTCGGCACAGGGGCGTGGAGCTGAGCGTGCCTGGCCTTGCTTCCCTTTCCCGTAATGACGGCAGGGCCCAGAGACGCAGGCAGAGTGTGGCCTGGATTTGCCGTGGAATTAAATACAGGGGCGGTACAGTCCCTTTGTGACTGTAAAAATCTCCCCCTGGATTCTCAGTTACTCCGTGGGGCAGGACCAGAGGGCAGGGGGTTGAGAGGGCTTTGAGCCACCATTATCCTGCTGGTATTGTGGGGTAGGTTAGATTGGCTTTGGGGTGGCTCTAACTTGTGCTCGGCTTCCCCTGGACCCTAGGAAGCAGAACATAGCCATAGTGCAATGTGCTCCCGCAGCCCTGAAAATCCAGCTCCAAACCCTTTATCCCTTGATTGCTAGCTCTGCAGTGGGACAAAGCAAAGCCCTGGCCCGGAACCCCCGAACCTCTGGGACATCTGGATCCGGAGCCAAATGCATCTCTGATCTTAAGGCTGGCTGTCAAATCCCTCCCTCTTGTTTGGAAAGGTTTGTCCTGGCTTTGTTTCAGGGGGATATCAAATCTCCCCCAGACTTCGTCACCGTCCCCAGGTCCCCCAGGGCAGGCTGAGCCCCGGAATAACCAGGCTGATGACTGAGCTGTGACAATGAGAACCAGGGAGTGGCTCTTCGCGGCAGGGAGCCTTGGCGGGTCTGGGCATGCTGTGGAAAATGCTGGAGGCCAGTTGTAAGGAAGGGGCAGCAAAGAGGTAACAGCTGCCCGAGCGTGGAGTTGCTGCAGGAGTTCAGGACAACAGGGGTGTGGCCTGGGCAGCAGGTCAGTATAAATAGGAAGCGGGGGGCAGGCAGGGCAGGCCAGCCTGGCTCATTTGAGGTGGGTGGAGTTTGCGGAGGAAGGGCTAGTGTGAAACGTTGTGCTGTGGAGGTTACAATACGGTGAGTGAAGAACATTTTAAAACACAGAGGCCCATATAGCAAAATCCTTCCTTAGGGAGAGCAAGAGACCTGTCAAAGCGACTTTAAGTTCAATACAGGACAAAGGCATTGTTACAAAGCTATGTTCTAGGCAGACACAATGACTCTATATATCAGGTGCGCACACACACAGCTGGGTCTAGAGCCGTGGTTCTCAACCAGGGGTCTGGGACCCCCTGGGAGCTGCGAGCAGGTTTTGGGGGTCCACCAAGCAGGGCCAGCATTAGACTCGCTGGGGCCCAGGACAGAAAGCCCCACCGCCTGGGGCTGAAGCCAAAACCTGAGCAATGTAGCCTTGCAGGACCCAGGCAATTGCTTGCTTGCTGCTCCCTAACGCCGGCTAGGGTGACCAGACAGCAAGTGTGAAAAATCGGGACAGAGGGTGGGGGGTAATAGGAGCCTATATAAGAAAAAGCCCCAAATTTTGGGACTGCCCTATAAAATTGGGACATCTGGTCACCCTAACACCGGCCCTCGCTTTTATATGCAGAAAACCAGTTGTGGCACAAGGGGCCCGTGGAGTTTTTATAGCTTGTTGGGGGGCGGGGGGCTCCGAAAGAAACAGGTTGAGAACCCCTGGTCTAGAGCACAGATCGTTCAATTGCAAAATACAGGCTGCTACTGCCCGAGCTGAAGGAGCACTCCACTCTACTGGCATTGTTAGGTCATTTATCCTCTGTGGGTCTGGCCACTAGAGGGCGATATCACTCTCACACACACAAAGCCAGCCACTAAGGGACGGAATCTCTCTCCAAATGTGTGAGTCATAGGAAGTGAGCGACAGACCGGCTGCACAGGGCTAGCTGAGGAGAGCATTCGCCCCTGGGTGCCTTCCTGTAGTGGCTGATGGCTGGTTACAGAGCGCCGACTCCTAGGGGAGTTTGGGTAAGTCAGGAGACAAATTAGAACCCCACAAGGAGCTGTGTGAGTCTATCTGCTACAGCCAGCAAGAGGTTAGCGTTTGGGTTAGTGAAATGGAGACGCCCCAAATGCAAGGTGGAGATTAAAGGAGAAAGCCAGTCTTAGGCATTCGCTAGCCACCAACGCAAAGTGCTGTGACTCAGACCCAGCCAGAGATTCCTGCCATCCCACAAGGCTGAAAAGAGACAGTACGAAGCTAGGATCAAACCCCCAACAGCTACTCTACTTGGCTGGCTTGCTCCTGCCTCCTAAGGGTTGGTCTGTTCAGGCCCTCTGGGCACATCCCTTTGGGTGCAGTATGGGAGGGTTCCACATGAGCCCCCAGGGTTTAATTGGATGGGCCATGAGGAGTATCAGGAAGATTTATGGATGGGGATGCTGGGCTTGGTCCTGGCTGGGACTCACTGAATTCCAGCTGGGACATGGGAACAGAACCGGGGGTTTCTCTCGTGCCCCCTGCCCAAGGATCTCCAAGTGCTTTGCGAACAGCAAACTGAGCTTCGATGGACTGTTATGTATAAAAGGCAGCTGGGTCCATTTAAGTCTCCTCT